CAGTCAGGATGGCTATCATAAACAAAGCAACAAACAACAAATGTTGCAGAGGTTGTGGGAAAAAGGGGTCCTTAGTTCACTGTTGGTGGGATTGCAGACTGGTACAACCATTATGGAAAACAGTATGGAATTTTCTCAGAAAAATAAAAATCGAACTGCCTTTTGACCCAGCAATTCCACTGCTAGGATTATATCCTAAGAATCCTAAAACATCAATATCAAAGAACCTATGCACCACAATGTTCATAGCAGCACAATTTACAATAGCCAAGAGTTGGAAGCAACCTAGGTGCCCATCAGTAAATGAATGGATCAAAAAATTGTGGTACATATACACAATGGAATTCTATGCTGCAGAGAGAAAGAAGGAGCTACTACCTTTTGCAACAACATGGATGGAACTGGAAAGCATTATGCTGAGTGAAATAGGCCAGGTGCTGAAAGACGAATACCATATGATCTCACCTTTAACAGGAAGCTAAACAACAAAACAAACAAGCAAGCAGAATAAAAACAAAGACACTGAAATAGAGAACAAGGGGATAGTGACCAGAGGGGAGAAGGAAGGGAAGTTAAGGGGAAAAAGGGTCAGGGATTTGGAGGAACAAATAGGAAGGACACAGGGACGAGAACTAAGGGGGGTGGAAATGGGAGGGAGGTGGGGAGCAAGGGGCGGGGGAGGCTGGGATGGGAAAAATAGACAAAAATCTGTACTTGAAAAATAACTAAATAAAATTAATTATAAAAAATAAAATTAAAAAATTAAAATACCTATGAATAAATTTACTGAAGGAGGTAGGAGACCTGTACTCGGAAAATTATAAACATTGAAGAAGATACAAATAAATAGAGGTATATACAATGTTCATGGAAAGGAATAAGTAACATTGTTAAAGTGTCCACACAACTCAAAGCAATCTATAGATTCAGTTCAATCCCTATTAAAATGTCAATGGCATTTTCCACAGAACTAGAATAAATAATCCTAAAACTTATATGGAACCACAAAAGGCCCCTAATAGCCACAGAAATTTTTAGAAAAAAGAAGAAAGTTGAAGGAATCACATACAAGGAATCACACTGTAATCATAGAGCATGATACTGGTACACAAAAAAGTCAAATCGACCCATGTTGTATGATCGATTAACATATGACAATGGAGACAAGAATATACAATAGGGCAAAGACAGTCTATTCAATAAATAGTATTAGGAAAACTGGACAGATACATGCAAAAAAAAGAAACTAGACCATCGTACTACACTATATTCAAGAGTCAACTCAAAATAGATGAAAGACTTAAACATAAGGCCCTAAACCATAAAAGTTCTTGAAGAAAATATGGGCAGTAAACTCTCAGATGTTACTCTTAGTTATACGTTTTCTGATATATCTCCTTGGGCATGGGAAACAAAAGGAAAAATAAATAAATGAGACTACATAAAACTAAATAGGGTTTACGCAGCAAAGAAAAACATCAACAAAACAAAAAGACAACTTACCGAATGAAAGCAGATATTCACCAGTAATATATCCATTAAGGGGTTAATATCCAAAATTCATAAAGAACTCATACAACTCAAAACCAAAAATATAAATGACCCAATTTAAAAATGAGCATACCTCTTTCATTTAGAATGGAAGGACAGATAAAGTGCTTCTCAGATAAGATCAAATTCAAGAAGTTCATCATCACCAAGCCCTTATTATATGAAATGTTAAAGGGACTTACCTAAGAAAAAGAATATTAAAAAGATGAACAGTGAAAGGACAGCAAACTCACAGTTATTAAGAACCATACCTAAAACAAAGGCAAACTAAGAGGACAGCTAGATCAGAAGTGGAACCATAGAAATGAAGATCATATGGAGTGTTAGCAACAGGGGAGTGGGAGAAGGAGAAGGTGGGAGAAGGTACATAAAATAAGTAGCATAGATGGTAGGTAGAAAATAGGGGGAGGGCAAGAATAGTATAGAAAATATAGAATCTAAAGAACTTGAGACACGTGGTCATAAACTAAAGGGGGGAATAGTGGGGGAGGGAGTGTGCAGGGTGGAGGGAAATAGAACAATTGTAATGGCATAATTAATAAAATATATGAAAAAATAAAATAAAATAAAAATAAAAATGAGCAGAAGACCTGAACAGACATTCTCCAAAAATGAGATATAGATGGCCAAAAGATATATGAAGAGTTGCTCAATGTTATCTCACACCTATCAGAATAGCTATCATCAATAAATCAAAAAGCAGCAAGTGTTGGTGAGAATGTAGATAAAAGGAAACACTAATGCACTGTTGGTGGTGGAAAATGGTGCAACCATTATGAAAAACATTGTGAAGATTCCTCAAAAAATTAAAAATAGAAATACCTTATGACCCAGAAGTAGAAGTATTAATTCTACTTCTGAGAATATATCCAAAGAATAAAAAACCCACTAATTTGAAAGATGTGTGCACCCTTATGCTCATTGCAGTGTTATTTATAATAACAGAAGAAACCCAAGTATACATCAACAGTTGGTTAAACAAAGAAGTGGTACTTACATAAAATGGAATATTACCTATAAAAAAAGAACAAAATCTTACCATGTGTGACAGCATGGATGGACCTAGTGGTTATTATCCTAAGTGAAACAGGGCAGACAGAGAAAGACAAATACCATATGATTTCACTTATATGTGGAATTTAAAGAACAGAATAAATACACAAACAAACAGAAACAGAATCATAGACAGATACAGTGAAGAAACTGAGGTGGGAGGGATGGGTGAAAAAGCTGGAGGGAGTAAGAAGTTACAAAATATTCACAGGATGTAAAGTACAGAATAGAGAATATAGTCAGTAATATTGCAATGATTATTTGTGGTGTCAGGTGGGTACTAAAGTTATCAGGGTTTACTTCATAAGTTATATAATGATGGTTGTTTAACCACTACAGTATACACCTGAAACAAATATAAAAATTTTTAAATAAATTAACCTAAACTCTAACCTCAAAGCTAAGTCTAACCTTACTACTAACCCTAATGCTAATCATTAAATCAACCATAAGTGTAATCCTAACCCTAAAGCTAACTTAAACCTTAAGCATAAATTCAAACCTGTACTCAAAACCTAAGCCTAACCACAATTCTAACTTTAAAATTAAACCTAACCCTAGCACTTAACCAAACCCTAACCTTAAACTTATTTCTAATTTAAGCCCAAACTCTAATCTCAAGATAACTATACCACTAAACTTACCCCTAACCCTAAACATAAAGTGAATCCTGCCCTGGCTGGTGTGGCTCAGTGGATTGAGCACTGGCCTGCAAACAAAAGGGTCTCCGGTTTGATTCCCAGTCAGGGCGTGTGTCTCCCAGGTCCCCAGTTGGTAGTGTATGAGAGGCAACCACACATCGATGTTTCTTTCCCTCTTTCTCCCTCCCTTCCTCTCTCTCTAAAAATAAGTGAAATCTTTAAAAAAATAAAGTGAATCCTAAACTTGTTTAATCCCAAACCTAAACCTAACTCTAAACTAACCCTTCCCCTAACCCTAATTTAAATCATTTCATCTATCTCAGAGTTAACTCTAACCTTAACACTAACCCTAGCTCTAATCATAAAATAAATACTAATTGTAACCCTAAAGCTCACTCTAACCCTAAAGGTAAACCTAACCCTAATTTACAACTTAACCCTAACCTCAGCTCTAATTTAAACCTAAACCCAAACCTTAAAGCCATCTCTAACACTAATCATAATCTCGAGTCTAAAACTAAACCCACACCTAACCCTAACCCAACCCCTAACCATAACCTTAATGTATACACGAAGTGTAAAACTAAAGCTAAGTCTAAGCCCAACCTTGCTCATAAACTCAACCTAATAATTATTGTAATTCTAACCCTAACACTAAGGCAAACCTAACCCTAACCCTAACCCAACACTAGTCCTTATCCTAACCCAAAATCTAATACTAACCCTAATTTATACTTCAAAAATAACACTAAGCCCAACTCTAATCCTAAACTCAAACCTAACTTTAATTCTAACCATAACCCCAATTCTACATGTAACACTAACCTAAAACCTAACCCTCACCCCAACCCTTACCTTAAAACTAATTTTAACCATAGCCTTTATCCTAACCCTAATCTTAACTAATTTATACCCAAACTCTGACCTCAAAGCTATTTCTAACCCTAACCTTAAAACTCAAATCCTCAAAGAAGCAAACACTCAATCCTACACCTAATCCCAAAACTAACCCTAATCTTAACATTAACTTTAACTCAAAACCTATTTCTAACCCTATAAAAAAGTAATATTTTATAAAATTTCTATATGGTATACTATAATTCACATATACTTTGTATATATAGTTTTTCAACCTAAATATACCCTATTTGATACATGACCAGATTATTCCTTACTGTGAGTTTTGGGGGCTGTGCTGTGCATTTGTAGGCTGCTTAGCAGCATTTCTGGCCTCTACCGATTAGATGCCAGTAACACTCCCCAGCCCCCAGATATGACAACAAAAAATAGCTACTAATACTGAAAATTCACTTTAGAAGGCAAAACCACCCATCTGAGAACCATTCTCTTAAGTGACTAAAAGAAACAACCAGCCAAGTATGTACAGAACAGAGAACACATATATGATAAGGCTAAACATTCAGATGATCTTTCTCTATATGCAAGGGATCGCATCTAGCTCTGCTTCATCTACATCAGTGCTAAGAGATTTTTAGCACTCATTCATTCAGAAAGGCCAGTCTTCACACTCGCAGTGGCAGTACAAGACTCTATCTACTCAAGGCTCTAGGGGTGAGTCAGTGAGTTTCGATGAGAGCCGCATCAGCAAAGCTACTTGTAACTCAGGCTGGGGTTACAGCTAAGAAGGACAGCGTTGTAACAAAAGTGTTGGTGCAAGGAAGAATGATATAATGACCCAAATTTGGATCCTCCAGGCAGGCAGGCAAGCCTCCTGAAGTAACAATATTCTCATACCTTCCAAATGACAGTTTTCTTCCCAAGGTTGGTCTCCAGACTCAAGGCCTCCTCCATCTCTTTCCTCACAAGTTCCAGGGCCGTCTGGAGATTTTCCTGTTTGGGAAGATATGCTGAGACCATTACAGACACCTTCATGTAGTACCTGTCCCAACCAGGTGCATCAGGTGCTACAAAGGTCACCTAGAACAGGCCCAGGGAGCACACAAAGATGTCTAACCTCATTACAGCTAAGTTAAACATAAGTACACTTTAAATGTTAATGCCGGACATAACCAAAGATTTAGTAAAAGTATGTTCACTGTGGCATTATTTAAAATAGTAAACCTGTAACTAACCAAAATGTTAAAGAAGAAAATTTTATCTTTTGCAACAGCATGGATGGACCTAGAGAGCATTATGCTAAGTGAAATAAGCCAGTCAGAGAAAGACAAAAACCATGAGATTTCACTTATATGTGGAATCTAGTGGACAAACTTAACTAACAAGCAAAATAGAGGCAGTTTCATAGAGAGGATGACAGCTATGGAGGGAAGGGGAGGAGGGGCGGAGGGATTGAGCAAGAAGGAAAAAGGATTCATGGACATGGACAACAGTGTGGTGATTGTTGGAAGGAGGAAGGTATAAATGGTAATGAAAAATACAATAAAAAAGTAACAGAAAAAAAGAAAATAATACATTAATTAATAAATAATTATCCAATAATTTTTTAAAGTAGAGGGTAAGAAAAATATATTTTATACTAATAGAATGAAATTAAAATAAGGTGCTTAATAATAAGAATACAGTGTTTAATAACAAGAAGTGCTCACAATTTTAAAGTGAACTAAAATAAGGATATTTTTTGTAACATCAAACCAATTTTGGAAAAATATGTGCTTTAAGGAATATATAAAAACTAGGCAGAGGTCAGTAAAAACGTTCAATACATAAAACCTCACCTACTAGTGTCTGAGTGAGAAATGATGTTACTCCCAACCTATACCTGTCAACTTCGGAAAATTACTTACTACTCTATAATCAGAAAAGTGTTTAGTATTATTAGGCAATAAGAAATCATGTAAGTTAGAATTTATTCAATGAAAAAGAAATACAGAATGTTGTAAATCTTAAAAAGAGTAGAAGATAATTTAATGAAAACTAAATTTCCTTTCCACCCTAGGCCCCCACTAGAGGTAGGCATGTACTTTATTTACAAAGAACACACACACACACACATTTTAAAACTCTACTCGAAGTCATTCAATAAGTCTCAGGAAAGAAAAAGACAGAAAAAAATTGTGCCGAAGTCATTCACAAGTCCTACACATCAATTATTTCTAAATAAATAAGTAAATATACATATATATGATGATGATGACATACCATAATGCTGATAAAATACAGTAGGATTCATGGTGGAATTAACATGACCAAAATGACACTTTTTTTAGTGTTTGCAAGGAGTAGAATCACACAGATGGAGAGAAGTTCCCTCCCACAGGAGAAACTGGGCAAAATTAGTGAGGTGACTAAGGCCTGGCAGGATAGGGCACAGCAGCTACTAGGCCAGTGTTGTTGGATCTCAGTGTTGTTGTACTGTTGGAGGACAACAGTGCAAATAGAACATAGAGTCTAGGAAATCAAGACGAAGTTCAGAAGATACTTATTTGGTATTAATTGAAAGACTACCAAAATACTGAAAATGACTCTAGAAATATTACACTAGCCATGCTCTGTATGGTGCTTTCAATAATTTTTTAAAAAGGCAGAAACATTCTACAAAAAACTAGCTAGAAAATAGCCAGCATCTGAGTTTTGTACATGGCAACCAAAACCAAAGAGAAAACTCAGAGATATTTCTAGGCAAGTCCAAAAGGAAATTGCGGTGATAAATACCCCCAATCTTGTTTTAAAACAATAAAACCAAGCTTAAAAAATAAAAGTATTTTTAATTTATTTCATTGTGGTGCTTTTTCAGGAAAATATGTCAGTTTAAACAAGACTTTGACCTTCTTTGTGCTAGTAGCTGTTGCAGATGTCACGAATTTAAATGCATTCAGAATATGTCCAAGAATTTTAGAAGAGCACCAGGACAAAAAATTCTATTTACAGAGTATCACAGATGTCCCTTTTGGTGGCCAAATACTGATATAGGAAGCACCTCTTCATTGAAGTGCTCACATCCTGAGCCCTCTAATATGAGTTGAATAAAGACCTGCCCTGTGCCCTTAGCTCCTGGATTCCTACTTCCTACTTAGCTCCTGGGCCCAGCCAGGCGCTATTCTTAACTAATGCTCAGACCTCATGGTTGTTTTGGTAACAGTATTAATTAAGGTAGAGATCAACATTATGCGAAAGGAAGGCGCAATGCCAATGGTAGTGGTTAGAATGTGTTCATCAAAAAGAGGCTCACTTGTAACCAAGCACACAGCGCTGATGCTAGGGCTCTAGCTGTGGGGCCCAGACGATTAGCCTGAGAAAAGGAGACTAGAGGTACCTGACAGGAAGGCTGCCTGGCAGAGGGGACCTTCACAGGGATATCCAACCAGGATATCATAGCCCAGGATGGCTATGAATTCGGCCCAACACAAAATCGTAAATTTACTCAAAACCTGTTTGTTTGGGGTTTTTTTGTTTGTTTGTTTTTTGCTCACCAGTTTCCGCTAGTGTTTGTGTATTTAACGTGGGGCCCAAGACAGCTCTTCTTCCCGTGTGACCCAGAGACGCCAAAAGGTTGGCCATCCCTGGAAGGAATGTGCGTTTGAGCTCCTTAGCAACGGTCCCAGATGGAGTTACCCTGGAGCAAAGGCAGGGATACCCCAACACGCCTGAGTGCACTGTGGGAGGGAGGCTCAGAGGGGGATTGCCTGGTACGCGTAGAAGTTGGGGAGAGAAGGTTGAGCAGGGCAGGGCGCTGGGAGCTGGGAGCAGGCGGAGTCATGTGGGTAGGAGGGGGGGGGGGGGAGAAGGGCGAGGGCACGGGGGCGCGGAGGCGGGCACAAAGTCCTTGGGATCAGGTGGTGGCACCGAACCTTGTCTCTGGAAGGTCACGGGCACCTCTGCTGGGCCTGCTAGCAGAGGTATCTTCCAGGCCAGTCAGCCTGCCAGTGCGTCCGCAAGCACAGCTCACCTGGTGGTGCTGGACTGCCTCCTGCAGCGGTGCCGTGTGGTGGCCTCGGTGCTCGGGGCCAGAGTCGCACGCCCAGCACAGTGCGACCTGGTCCTCCTCGCAGAAGCGGCTGAGCTCCTGGCCGTGCAGTGCGCACTGTGCCCACAAGGGCCCCTCGTCCGGCCCCAGCCGTCGCACGCTATCCACCAGGCTGGCCAGCTGCCGGTTGGGCCGGAAGCCCTCCCGAGTGAAGGGGCTGCGGCACTGTGGGCAGGCGAAGAAGCCTCCCTGCTCTCTGTCAGACCTGTCGCAGAACTCGGAGATGCAACGCATGCAGAAGCTGTGTCCGCAGTCCACGCTCACCGGGTCCTGCAAGAAGTCCAGGCACACGGGGCACCGCGCCTCCTCGCGCAGTCGCTGCCTAGGCGACGCCGTGGCCATGCTCTCAGGCCTCCCGCGGTCCGAGCTACCTCCCTCTGGTCCGCTCGGGAGGGAGGGGCCCTGACGCCTGCTGCCTGCACTATCAGTCGGGTCTGCACGCTTGGGAGGGGCCCTGCTTGAAGACAGGCGTGCACACTATCTCAGTCGGGTCTGCACGCTTGGGAGGGGCCCTGCTTGAAGACAGGCGTGCACACTATCTCAGTCGGTCTGCATTTCGGGAGGGCAGGTGTGCACACCATGGTGCACATCATGGATTTTCTCAGGCTTGCAACGCTCAGGTCAGGTCTCCAGGCGTCTGGACGTTTACTGACATTTCTGTTTCTAACTGGAGGGGAAGGGGAAGGAGAGAGGGAGAGAAATATCAGTGGTTGCCTCTTGTGCATTCCCTGCTGGGAACTGGCCTGCAACCCAGGCATATGCCCTGACTGGGAATCGAACCGCGATCCTTTGCTTCGAAGAACCGCACTCAATCCACTGAGCTACACCAGTCAGGTCTGCAAATTTGGAGACAAGCTGAGCTCCTTCTGCCACTGTGTTCATGGCCTCCTTGACCCTACACACATAATGATTTCTTAATGTATCTTTTCCAAACCTTAATCTCTCTACCTCCTGTTAACTAGTTCATGACTAAAAAAAAATAAAAATAAAAAAATAAGTAGATGAGCTGAAGGGAAGATAGATGCCCTGATAGATGTGCATGTGATGATAGGTCTATAGTCTAGTAACATTCAAAACATCTGGCTGCATTCAGAGAGGGTCCTGGGCGCAGGGGCCTGCAAGGTGTTCTGATTGTTGCAAAGCAAATCTCAGAGGTGACGATGCTGTAGGCCAAGACATTCCTCAGAAGGACAATGAGCAGAGGTCATTAATACTGCACCTGTGTCATGGGGAGACTAAGAAAGACAGGGAGGGAGCAAGATCATTTGACAGAAAGTATGTGATCCTGACTGAGGATGTGTTTGGTGAGGTATTCTGTCACAGGAAAATAGACATGTCTGCCTTCTGAGCAAAATGTGATTTGCATTTTCTTGAATTTGAAGTCATGGTAGGCATATCTTCAGCAATCTACTCAGTCAGGTAGCCAGGCTCTCAGACACAAGGTGAGCAAAAGACATGTGGCCCAGCTCTCAAGGAGCCAATAACTGGGACAAGGAAACTTGCCAGTGCTGCAAGAATATAACAGACGACCCTAAACCAGCCTATGGGGTTAGGTGGGACCCTCAGAGGTCTCGGAGCTAACATCTGAAGGGTGAGTGCAAATCACAAGTGGGAAGGGGCTGTGGTAAGCAGAACAATGAGAAGGGTCCACAGGAGCCATGGTAAAGGGAGCAGTATTCACCCATTACTCCAGCCCCAGGCAGGCAAGTGTGTGGCCAGATGAGGAAGAGTGGCAGCAGATAAGGTCCCAGTGGAAGCCAGGCCAAATGACTCAGGTCCTTGCGGCACCCTCCCATGACATCCGTCCTTATTCTAAGGACCAGGGCTTGGCCTGTAGCTTTGGCAGAAGGCAGAGTCTAAAATCTTTGAGACCATCTGCTGAAAGGTTAGCTGGATAATGAAAATGGATAGATTGTTGAGAATAGACACAAACAGTATGAACAAAACCTGAGGCTACAAAAGAAAGCAAAGCAGAGGCCTCCATGACAGAGAAGTAGAAGTATACTCTAAACCCAGGCTGAAGACTTGCTCACTGGGGGGCTTTAGAGAAGCTGTGTCAACTTTGCAGGCTCCACTTCATCTAACATGTGAGGACAGTGCTAGTGCCACTCAGGATCCAATGAGCTAATAGATAATACATATTTGACACAAGTTCTGGCATGTAGTAAGCATATTTAATTAAAGAAGAAGAGGAAACATAGCAAAGTGAGTGGAAGACTACTGAGACAGAATGTAAGCTACATGAGGACAGAGGGACGTTTTTCTGTTTGATTCAATGCTGTATCCACAGTACCTTGAAGAATGACTGGCATATATGGACACCCAATAAATACTAAGTTAATAAATAGGTGAATAAAGGAATGTACAGAATTGATACACTTTATCCTAGAAGCTAATGGATTAGAGAACTTTAAAGATTAGAGAACTTCAAAATATGGATCTCAAATGTGCATTATATATACACCTACATATATTTACATATATGTGTAAATATATTTACATATACACATATATAAATATATGTATATATGTAAATATATGCATCTATACATGTATGTGTATGATTATGTGTGTATGTATATATATATATATATATAAAAGCCTGATAAAAATCAGGCTTTTTATCACTATGACTCTGGGAGATACTAGACCCTGTTTGTATTTTATGTAGAGACATAACCAAGCAACATATGTGTTCAAATGTATGAACAACTTGATAGTACAGCTCACATGAATGCAGATTGCCTGGTGTCTAGGAGATAAGAGGAGGTGACTGGCTTCTGCTGAGGAGGGTCACAGTGGTCTTCAGGAGGACACAGTGGAGGGGAGAGCCAATGCCAGATGGCATGTCTTCCCTGACTGGTTCTAGAATCACTAAGGCTCTGTTCTGTCTTCAGGCAAGCAGTGGGCTAGGTTATTAACTTGATGTCACTTACTTACAAATGCTCTGTGAAGGACCTCCAGGGCACTTTCTTGTTTAGTATGGTTAGTCTAATTTAAACTTGTATTTTCTGATGATCATTTTTCTGGAGTGAATAAAACATCTCTGCATTTGTGCTGGTACAACCCCATTTGGTGCCCCCCGCAACCCTGACTCACTGAGAGTGTGCATAGTTCCAGTCCACTAAGCTACCCCACCCCACCCCACCCCACCCCACCCCACCCCTAATGCCATCCCCTTCTCCATTGGTGTTTTGCCTTCTCTGGCAACATGGGGTCCTCCATCCTCTGACCTGACCTCATGCTCTCCCTTGCTAATTTCTTTGTCACCGTGGCTTTGGGCTCCTGAAACCATCTCTCTGGGGCACCCATGCTTCCTTCCCTAGCCTGGGTCCTTTTCACTACTGCCTTAGCTTTAGGGTGGGGGTGTCAAACTCATTTTCACTGGGGCCAGATCAGTCTCACAGTTGCCTTCAAAGGGCTGAATGTAATTTTAGGACTGTATAAATGTAACTACTCCTTAACAAGGAGTAGGCAAGGAGCTCTACATTCAGCCCTTTGAAGGCAACCACCAGGCTGATGTGGCCCCTGGTGAACAGGAGTTTCACACTCCTACTTTAGGGATTTGCACTCTCCTAGCCTCGAACTCAGCCCACTCCACAGTGGGAGAAAAAAAACAAAAACAGAAACAGCCAGCACAAACCTCAAAAAATCCTCAAAAGCAACAGCCAATAATGCAGGCTTTCCTTCCTGCTTCTGGTCTTTGCTGCCTGGCTGGTGTGACTCACCAGACTGAGCACGGGCCTGTAAACCAAAGGGTGGCTGGTTCAATTCCCAGTTGGGGGAATTAAAGGACTTCCCAGTGCCTGGGTTGTGGGCTAGGTCCCCAGTAGGGGGAGCGCAAGAGGCAACCACACATTGATGCTTCTCTCCCTCTCTCCCTCCCTTCCCCTCTGTCCATAAATAAATAAATAAAATCTTTAAAAAGAATAAAAGGATCTGTGCTGCTCTTCATTTCAGCAGCTGCACTCTGGAGTTTTACTGTTTCTTTTTCCCAGAGGCTCTGTTGATGATTCATTGAGCTAAGGTTGCCTAACATCTTCTGTTCACACAGCTTCAAATTCCTCTGGCTGGCTGAGGCCAGAGGCACCTGCATCCAGGCACCTCTCTGCTTCTGTGGAAGGAATTCAGAGAGCACACGTGAAGCAGAGAAGCCTCCTCACTAAGGGAGAGCCCAGGGCCTCTAGACATTGATGAGGCAGCCAGAGAAATGCCAGCCCCTTTCCCATGCACAGGAGCTTTAATCAGCACAGATGCATGTTAACAAAGAGATTTGTAGACTTCCGCCAAGATGGAGGCGTAGGTGGGAACACTTTTCATCCTCGCACAACAAATCTAAAAACAATAAAGTTTTAACAACAATAAACATAACCAAACCACACAGAAAATCGAATACGGAGTCCAGAAACAACGGACCACTCAGCTAATCAAGTGAGAGAGGCAAAACCAGCAGCAGAGCCAGTCGGGCAAAAAATATCCCAGCAGTGCACAGGCAGCGGGGGTCGTGGATCCCAGGTGCCAGCTAGCTACAGGCAGAACCCAGGGAAGAGGCACTGCTGGCTGTCTGCAGTTGGTCGCGCATTTGCACACAGATAAATCAGTGAAGAGGCGAGCGTTGAGACAGATCTTCCATGCCCCAGTGACTGGCGCAGGGCGGCAGACTCACACATTTGCACTCAGATAAGCAGGCAGGGGAGAGTGGTGAGGCGAACTGGGCGAGCTGAGAGGACTGCCTTTGCTCCCTCTCTGACCCTGCCCCCACATACAGTGTCACAAACCTGTGACCTGGGTGGCCCCGCCCCGGTAAACACCAAGGTGCCTCTCCTCATTCATGACAGGCACGAACAGATCAAAGATGGCTCAAGAACAACTCAGAGCCCCAGAGCCGATAAATCTAAGCAAACAAGAAATAGCCAAACTTTCAGATGCACAGTTCAAAACACTGGTGATCAGGATGCTCACAGAACTGGTTGATTATAGTCATAAATTAGAGGACTATATGAAGGCTAAACTAATTGAAATGAATGGAAATGCACAGAAAACCAATAGTAATGGAAAGGAAACTGGGACTCAAATCAATGGAGTGGACCAGAAGGAAGAAAGAAATGACCAAACAGAAAAGAATAAAGAAACAAGAATTCAACAAAATGAGGAGAGGCTTAGGAACCTCCAGGACATCTTTAAATGCTCCAACATCCGAATTATAGGGGTACCAGAAGGGGAAGAGGAACACCCATGAGTGGAACACTTATTTGAACAAATCATAAAGGAGAATTTCCACAATCTGGCAAAGGAAATAGACTTCCAGGAAATCCAGGAAGCTCAGAGTCCCAAAGAAGTTGGACCCAAGAAGGAACACACCAAGGCACATCATCATTATATTAGCCAAG